AATAAGAACTCTCCGTTCAACTCCCTTCTTTCACTTTGGGCCAGGAAGACCTGGCTCAGACTCCAATTCAGTGTGTGACTCAGGGAAAGAACTATGGAGGAAATCGGCAGTCTCTGTGTCGCTTGATCACCCAGCCTGACCGTGACGTAGGAATGAGAGGAGTGCACGCTCACCTCTTGTAACCCCTGTCTTCCCTCAGTGAGACAAGGAAGTAATCAGCAGTGTACAGAGTCGGGGGGCACGCACTGGGGCCCACAGGCTAGCTGGAAGCCTGTTTGCTCAAGACGTAATGAGCTCGAATGAGTGTTCTGCTTCCTGCCATGTCTCACTCCAGTACTTTTGTTTAGTCCAGAGTAGCGTCCTTAATACTCCAAGTTGCATGGAGGTATAGCATATATGTCAGTGAGTTACTTAGGGCACCCCCCCAAAAAAAAACTGGGACTAGAATCTGAAGAGAAATGCCCCTTAGGATGGCTAGGGAAAGAACTCAATTAGTAAAATACTTACTTTGCCTGCACAAGGACCCAAGTTCAAGCCCCAGAACCAACATAAAACACACCAGGTGTAAGCGTGTGTTCTTGTAATCCAGCACTTTGAGGATGGAGATAGATGAATCTCTGGGACTCTCTGCCAGCCAACCTAACCTATTTGTCTAGGTAAATGAGGGACTATGATCCCCTACTCCCCTCAAAAAGATAGGCGGTGACTGAGGAATGACACCAACGTTGTTCTCTGACCTCCATACCCATGCATGACCATGTGCACGTATGTACACATACATGCAGAAAAGTGATCCTGACTTTTCTGTCCTGGGCTCAGCTGTTGGTTTCAGGCAGTTGTTCTACCATGGGGGAAGCTTTTAGCATCACTCCAGTGTCCTAAGTTGTGAGTTCTTTTTGGCCTCCTCCTCCCCTTTTCAGATCCTGCCTGCAGCAAACCCAGTGGCCAGCAGTCACAGGAGGTCTTGACAGGGTACAGCTCAGAGAAGCCAATGGTAGGCTCCTCTACCCTGCCCATAGGATGCATTTGGAGGGCAGAAGAAAAGAAGAAATATTCCTCATGACTCAACCGGCCGAAGAGGGAGGCATCACTACAGACACCTAACACTGGGGAATGAGTAGGACAAGGAGCTGGGCTCAGCAGGAAAGCTGAACAAGGAAACAGAGAGACAGGGAGGGGGATAAGGGGAATATCACAGACCTCCTCTCATGGTCCCAGCACTGAAAAACCCAAAGTGAGGCCGGAGAGACCTTTGTGGGCAGACAAGCTTAGGTCTCAACATCAGACTCTTTCTCTTTCCCCGCTTGCTGCTTTTATCTCTGCCAGGATGGTGTCAAAATGAACCACAAGCCAGATGCCCTCCACTGGTGTCTTAACATTGGTAAAGCACTCTCTCCGCTGTAAGTTCACTTCAGCCTCACAGCTTCTCACAGAATGGTCATTATCTCCTTTTTTTTTTTCAGATGAGAAAAACAAGACAGGAAGAGATTGTGACTTACTCTGGATAACAAAGTTCCTTCTAAAGCTCAGGAGTCCTGATCAGCTCCTGGAAGATTATCTGTGTTAGGTTGACGTCAACTGTTACTTTGTTGTGACCTGGAGTTTTTATTGACCTTTGTGGATGAGAAGGTGTAATCTAGAGACTGTCACCAAAACAATAAAACAAAAACAAAGAACACCACCACCACCACCACCATCATTACCACCACCACGAGCAGCATCACCATTACTACCTCTACCACCAGCAATATCATCACTACCACTACCACCATCACCACCACCGCCATCACCACCACCACCACCATCATCACCAGTACCCCCACAATCCTCACCACCATCACCACTATCATCACCATCACCACCATCATCACCATCACCATTATTTACCACCAGAAGCAGAAGCACCACCACCACTCCCACCTTCACCACCACCACTACCATCAGCAGCAGCACCACCACCATCATTAACAATGATGGGCTAGGAATGGTAGCACAGTCCTAATATCTCAACACTCTAGAGGCTGAGGCAGGAGGATCAAAATTTCCAGGCTATATAGCAAGACACTGTTTCAACAAAACTAAAAGAAACAAAAGCCCAGGTGACAAATCAACAGGGAGAAACCATGGGCAAGAACTGACACAGAGGCTGGAGAAATGGTTCAGTGGGAGAAACATATGCCGCTCTTGAGAGGACCTGGGTTCGATTCTCAGCACCTACATGGCAACTCGCAATTGCCAGTACCTCTAGTTCCAGGGGATATGATGCCCTCGTCTGGGTCTTCAGGTTTCTGTGGTGTACACACATGCATGCGAATTAGAAATTAATTAATAAATCTTAAAAGAAAACAAGGGCTGATATAGAAGAATGACCCCTAGGGTCAAGGGTACCTATGCAAATTGTTTTCATGACAACTTCCTGCTACCCTGTCAAGGTGCCGGATGCCTCACATCCCTCTCTACCATTCTGACTTTTGTGCTCCTAAAAAGCAATGGAGTGGTTTGGCGAGGTAAATGAGGGACTTTGATCCCCCACCTCCTCAAAGAAAACGTAGGCGATGACTGAGGAACGACAGCAGGGCTGTTCTCTGACCTCCATACCCAGGCATGTCTGTGAGCAGGTACCTGGGACATCAGGCATGTCTCTGCAGCGTATTATAGTGTCTCCACGATAAGGGTGGCAGTTTGGGCCACACCAGGACGTCTCCCTCCCAGGGCAGCAGGTGTCAGCCTACCACTGTCTTCTGAGGTGGTCCTGTAAAATGGAACTGCCAGCCACTACTCTGCCGTGGCTAGGCTGTCTCTGCCTGAGCATGCCGAAACACTGGCTCCTCGTCTTGGGCTCTGTCCTTGCCCTGGGACCAGCCACTCCACAGACACACTCGGAGAATGGCGCCTTGGTGTGCTAGAAGCAGTTTCATGATGTGGCTAAGGAGAAATCTCTCAGTTTCTTTGCCACAGCAATAAAAACTGCCCCCTATCAACCTCAGAGCCCTGCCTGGAATACAGTAGGCTTCATATCCTTTCTCGCTTGAGTTTGAGTACTGAGAGGTGACCCAAAATGGTGAGTTCCAAAATGAGGTGATCCAAGCCCCCAGATCTGTAGGAGCACCCCTCACCACTTCCAGATTATGGATAAGCTTTCCATCCAGTTTCTACATCAACCCTGCTAATCCCGGCAGATCCCTCAAGCTGTTTTCCTGGTGGCCTCAGGTAATCCCCATCCTGGACAGAAGACTTCTACCAGGTTTCGCATGCTGTTATGAGCAGGTGGTCTCACCACCCCTTCCAAAATACGGATTATACAGTACTTTTATTTCCACCCCTTACTATATATGGTTGCTCTCACGCTCCCTAAATCTCTCTTTTTTCCTCCTGTTAGCACAGCCCTGAAGTCACTTCCTCTGTGCTGTTCCTTCCTCATTGTCCCCACCTTTTCTTCTGAACCGATCCAGCTGACTCCTGCAGTAGTTGTGGCCATTGCTGACCTAGGAGAGAGAGGAGAGGTCCCAGGGAAGGGAAGGTGCTGTCTCTGGCTTCCTGTCAGTCTTGTTTCACTTTCCCCACATCCCTCTCCTCCCCTCCCTTCCTCCCACTTGGCTCAAGCTGACAAGGAGCAGTTTGGGTGTACAGGTATTATTTTTTTTTCCTGGTGGGGGGAAGGGAGTGAGGATTGAGGAAAGAAAAGCCCGGGCAAGGATGATTGGCATGAGGCCACGCCTTCTTTTGTCCTCCTCCCCCTGGTACTCATTCTGGCCCTTACAGGGAAATGCACCTGTCTGGGGCCAGCAGCCAGTGGGGCAGGCGCTCCTCTGCTCCTCTTGCTGCTGCTTCTGAGTTTTGGAGCTTCCCGGGCGGGCCTACGGGACTCTGTGGAGCCATGAGAGGGCCTCACTGGAGGGTCCCCTGGCTATGTCTGAGCTGCCTCTGTTTAGCTGGTAAGTGATGTATCTGGAATAGAGTTCTGGGGCAGGGGAGGCTGGCTTCAGGGAGGGGGATGGAAGAGAGGAGTGGAGAAAGAGAAGGAGCAGGGGGAGAGAAAGAAGTATGAAAGGGTAGGTATGGGCTGAGGTGGAAGACGAAAGATAGAAAGGGACAAACACTAGAAAGACAGAGAGAAGAGGCAGAGCAAAAGGGAGATGTCTTGGGAGCAGGAGTGGTCTGGTTTGGTGAACCCATGGTGGAGGGGATCAGACCTTCATTCATAGAGAGTGAAAGAGGCAGAACCATAGCAAGAGAGTTGAGGGGAGACAGCGAGGGGAAAACAGATAAGCCGGTGACAGGCGCCAAAGAGAAACTCTTAAAAAGATGTCAGAGAACAAGATGGATGAGAAATCAATGATTCAAAGCAAAGCGAACATAAAGGGGAAAACTGGAGAAGAAAGCAGAATTGAAAGAGATGAGGCAGGTCAGCTTGGAGCGTGGTGGGGACAGAAGCCAGGCAGAAGCAGCAGAGATGCTGAGAGCAGCCAGTGTGCTGTCTCCAAAATAAAAAAGCCTCCTGCTATTCTAAAACTTTACGCCAGTCTTGGCCCATCACAGCCTCATCTCCTTACAATCAGATGGGCACAAGGCCTGTTGGGGATGGTCCCCAGGACCCTGAGACCTCTTCCTGTCTCTTCCCTAGCTGCCAGTCTGATTCCAAATTGAAGTTTCATTCTGTGCATCGGGGTGCCTGAGTGTTCTGTGAAGGGCGAGGCTCCAGGAGCCCAGATCAGAATAGAGTTCTTTGCCCATCTCAACAGG